ATTTTCCAATAAAAAAGGTGTGTAATTTTCCAATAATACCAATATAATACTGCCTCTGGTCCTAAATATAAGAGCTAACGGACTAATTTGAATAGATTAAAAAATAAGTTAAGTTAATTATTTGTAATAAATAGGTGTTGCTTTTCCTAAAATATCCTTGATAATTAAATGTATTAGTTAAAATTATCATTATTAGAAAAATTATCTTGAAATAAAATACATAAATATGAGAAACAAAGTGAATTGTTGTATTATATTTAGGATTAAAATAAAAATTAAAAAAGATCTTATATTAAAAACAAGAAGTAGTATAAAGTCTTTCGATTTATCATTTGGTGCGTCATGAACCCTTTAATTAAATGACGTAACACACACATATGTAATATAACATGCACGTTTATAATATGGAATATATTAATCAAAATCAACCTTCAAAGTCAATTCTTTGCCCAACTTTCTATGTATTAGATGAGAATGGAACCTCCTTTATTTATTTGGAATTTTTGTTGAGGGACAAAATAGATCTTGTTCAATACGTGGGAGACGTGTTTGTTGTTATCCCATTATTATATTATACTTTTTTTTTTTAAAGGGCCAAGTTATTTACTTGCACATCAAGAAATGCCAATATAATTAATATGACAAAGAAATAATGAATTGAAAATTAAATTAAGAGGATTAAATGCTAGAGTTTTATTTTCCTATTATATATACACACATACCATGATTGAAATTTATTTTCAATTTACTTCACATCCTGTGAAAGATATTAGAATATACAGACACATACACACAAGAAACTTTTTGTTGTTGTAATTAATATCATAGTAAAATCATATTAAATATCCCCTCCGTTATTTTTTTTTATAAGCAACAATCATTATTGTCTTTGTCTCTAAATATAACAACATTTATAAGTCTTAAATTTTTGTCGTAAATTTTCTGGTTTTACTCGTATTAGAGATTTGTTTTAATAGTTAATACATTTAATTTCTGTTTCCCAAAATATCATTTTCTAGATAATAAATTATATTTTAATATAATCTCTTCCATTCATACTTTTTTTTTCATAATTATTTTTTTAATAATTTTTTTTCTCCATAAATAAGGGTATTTTGGAGGAACAAAAATTTAATTTTATATATTTATTGTCTTAATTAATTTTAACTAATTTCTTGATCTACATGATTTAGTCTAAAGTTTTTTTTAATAAAAAGGACACAGGGATACTTTTGTTACTGTAAGATATTTATAATTTCTACTTTTTAAAAATTAGAAGAAATTTCACTATCAGTAACATTGTAATGGGATTCTAGGTTGTCTATGATAAATAAAATCTATCTAGAAGCAGCTTAATCTAGACTTTGGGTGATTCTGGTTAAAAAAAAAAAAAAAGACTTTGGGTGATTGTCCCTGACCTTGGTGGGGTCATGTGGAAGGGAAAAACAAAATAAAATCTTTGTTCTTTACCCCACATTTTTCTTTTCTTTTTCTTGTTTTCCTTTTTTTTTTTAATTGTCGGTTCCACCATGAAAATTATGATCTCTATCTACCATTTTAATTTGATGTTCAGTCTAGATTTTAAAATACGGACAAATTTTAGGTCAGGTTTTTCAAAATTATTACTCTACATCCATTATTTCAATCGGATTCTGCTTAAATTAAATTATTTCCTTTCAATAAACATTTAATTCCATAAATAGTTCACGCTATATAAATTAAACATGTCTAGTTAGGCGCCAACATAACAATAATAGTTGCTTTGCATTATTCTTTTCTCTTGCACTTCTTTATTTTTAGTGTTAGTATTGTGTTAATTTTAAAGGGTAGGTGTAGATTTATCTCAAAAATAGCTACTAATAAGTACTAGGCACTCGTAGTATCTGTTTTGGTGCAAATTTCTTTCTAAAATTGAGAATCGTAGGAATATTATCCCTTAAAGTTCTACCGTTAAAAAATTAGTATTGACTGTTAAAATAATAATATTAGTTGTTAATATTTTTAACAAGAAAGAGTAAAATTGTTATGATTCGAAACTCTTTAGATAAATTTGCAAAAAAATGCTATGTAAAAGAATTATTTTATTTTTAAAACGTATACTTATCTGTGGAGAGAAAAAAGGTGAATGAGAGAGAGGAGAAGTAGTAAAAAAAATGTGTAAAAAATTATTTAATACAATAATAAACATGTAATTAATGAGTGTGAAAATAAAAAAATTGATTAAAAATTTAAAACTTCTGCACACATCAGTCCTTTAAGCGTATCATATAGATCCGTATATGGAGGATTATGTCACTTCAAAAACTGGTTCCTATAAACAAGATGGAAAGGAGTATTTAACATAGGCATTTTGGAAAAAAAAAATTTAATATCAAACAAATAATTTAATTAATTATTTATTTTTTATAAATAGGTTCAAGCATAATATCTTTTCTATACAATTATAATGAGTTAAGGTTAATTAATTAAAAAGTCAAACTCCATGTCCCTATTCTTTGAA